ACAGAGAGCTTTGCCTTCTGGCTCAGCTCCCTTTTCGTCACAACGATGCGGTAAAGCGACTGCAGTACCGCTCCCGCTGCTCCGATTCTCCGGCCCATCTCACGCTCCATTGTTCCCTCACTCGAGAACAAGACCCCGATATACTTGAACTCCTTCACTTGGGGTAAGGACTCATTCTCTACTTGGAGTGGACAGTCCATCGGTTTCCTGCTGAGAACCATGGCCTCAGATTTGGAGGTGCTGATCCTCATCCCAGCCGCTTCACACTCGGTTGCGAACCGATCCAGTGAGTGCTGAAGGTCGCAGACCGATGAAGCCATTAGAACCACATCATCTGCAAAAAGCAGTGGTGCAATCCTTAGTCCACCAAACTGCAGACCCCCTCCCCCACGACTACGCCTCGAAATCCGATCCATGTATATTACAAACAGGATTGGTGACAAAGCGCAGCCCTGGCGGAGGCCAACCCTCACCGGAAATGGGTCCGACTTACTGCCGAGGACCCGGACACAGCTCTCGCTTTGGGAGTACAGAGATTGGATGGCCCTGAGTAGAGACCCCCTCACCCCATACTCCCGCAGCACCTCCCACAGTAACTCCCTGGGAACTCGGTCATACGCCTTCTCCAAGTCTACAAAACACATGTAGACCGGATAAGCGTACTCCCAGGCCCCCTCCAGGATCCTTGCGAGAGTAAAAAGCTGATCCGTCGTTCCACGACCAGGACGGAATCCGCATTGTTCCTCCTCAATCTGAGGTTCGACAATCGGCCTGACCCTCCTTTCGAGTACCTTAGCTTAGAGTAAACTTTCCCGGGGAGGCTGAGTATGACTTAATGACTTTATGAATGTCATCATATTGTAACACTAACGTTGATTCCAATAACAGGAATTGGTGAGTATGAATTCAGTCTGAATGGCATATTTGATATGTTAATAAACGTGTTTGATTGCAGGAGAAAGAGGTGACCATCACCAAAGCTAACGGGGAAACCACGGTGACCACAGTGAGAGTCTGGAACGAGACCGTGTCCAACCTCACTCTCATGGCCCTGGGCTCCTCGGCCCCTGAGATCCTCCTCTCTCTTATTGAGGTACACACCGCCGTTCACATCCCTGTTGTCTTTGAGTTTGTCTTTAAAAATATATGAAATGTCACTTTCTTACCAACATGAATGCACTGCTAAGAATAACACAACAAATCAATTACTTGTAGTTGTGTATTTTACATTGATCAATGAACAAATGAATACAATATTTAATACTGTTAGTGAATACAAATGAGGGTAAACTCAAGGCACAGTAATATGTTCATTATTAGGGATTGCAACAACCAATGTGAAGAAAACATATTTCATATTTATTAGGGCTGTCAACGTTAACACATTAACGCTTGCAATTATTCTTGAAAACTTCAATCAGATTACCAAGACGGGGGCAAGCTTTCTCCCGTAATCCCAGCACAGATTCTTTACCTGTGTGATTACATGGTAAAGAATGACTGAGGACATATCCCCGGTGTGATGAAAACTAAATAAAGCTTCCAGATGGAACTTTAGATGAATGAAAAATTGTGAGCACTTTAACAAACAAGCTGTTACAGGCAAATGTTACTTTTTTATAATTTGTGGAATTCATGTGAATTATTAATTAGACTAAGAAATAAACTAAGCTGAGATGTTATAATAAAGGTAATACACCCTCTTATATATCTTAACAGTTATTGCATCACCACATGTGTATTTGTTTTATCCCCAAAATACAAGTAGATACTAGCATTTTAAATGTGTGATTATGAAGGATTAATCACAAGTTTACATTATTATTGTGATTAACTTAATTAAAAATGTTAACCGATTGACACATTGATTTATTTCTGCTAATAAATATATATTCTCTATACTGTCTCTAATATAGTTAATTTTCAGTTGTTTGTTATATTCTCAAAAAACGTAATATACATTTCAAAGTAGCCCTCTTTTATAATTATATTGTGTTGTTTTGGTTGTTTTAAGGGTATTGGGGATTCCGTTTCAGTTAGAATTAAAATAAGAAATGTTTGATATTGATCTATGTGCCGTTCGTCTTTTTCTGTCCTTAAATGTTGACAGGTGATCGGGCACAACTTTGATGCAGGGGTGCTTGGGCCGAGCACCATAGTGGGCAGCGCTGCCTTCAACATGTTTGTGATCATCGGTATCTGTGTGTGGGTGATCCCGAACGGAGAGTCTCGCAAGATCAAACACCTGCGGGTGTTTTTTATCACGGCCTTCTGGAGTATTTTTGCCTACATTTGGCTCTACCTCATACTGGCTGTCATCTCACCTGGGATCGTGGAGGTTGGTTCAGATGAATATATATATAAATCAATTTCTAATAAATCAAGTGTGTAAACAGGTAATGCTCATGGTGCCTCTTTTGCAGGTGTGGGAGGCCATAGTCACACTGCTCTATTTTCCGGTGTGTGTGGTCTTGGCTTGGATCGCTGACCGTCGCCTACTCTTCTACAAATACATGCACAAGCGTTACCGCGCCGACAAGAGGCACGGCATTGTTGTGGAAATGGAAGGTGACCTTGAGCCCAAGGGCATTGACATGATCATGGATGGAAAGTTGTCGGACGGTGCTTCGTGTGCCGGAAACTCTTCCAGTGTCTCTGTGCAGACAGGCAATGAGCTGGACCAGAACAAAGACGAGGTGAGACACGTGGGAGAAACGCTGCTAGAGACACACATTGCTAGACTGGAGAGTAAATGGTGTAAAATCATAGATTTTGTCCCCTTTAATTTCATGATGTGTTTTTGTATCGGTAATAGGTACAAAAAGTAATTCATAAAAAAGTAATAATAGCACCTTAAAGGTGGGGTAGGTAAGTTTCAGAAACCGGCTCGAGATACACTTTTTGTTATATTCCATGGAATGCTCTTAACATCCCGATAGCAATGAATATCTGAAGTGCTTTGACAAAAAATCCATAAAAAAATGTCATCTGTGGAAGCCGTGGTACTGTAAAAAGCACAATCAATGGAAATTGGATTGCCGCCCTGTCTGTCAGCCTTCCATCTCGTGCACGCACAAATGTATCTCGTGCCCTCATTGGGCGTGCCGTAATTGGGCGTGCATTGCGCGTTCATGTGTGTTGGAGGAGGTGCTCTGTAAGGAAGTCTGAAGGAAGGGGCGGATTCTTTTCGGCTGTGTACTTTCAAATTTTAGTGCACTCGAGCCGGTTTCTGAAACTTACCTACCCCACCTTTAATATACAAAATGGTTGTTTTCTTCATTTTAGCTTCCGAACATATTTTCTTTAAGTGGCGGGAATTATCCTGAAGTATTTTTAAAGGCTTTTAAAAGAAGGAAGACACTGTCAGGCCCACTAGTGTATCATGTTTTCTAACTTTTAAGATACTTCATTTGATTTTCAGGTTTCCTTTGAGCTAATACCAGCAGGGGTCTGAATGTCTGGACTGCAGACAATTAGGTGCTTCCAAAGTTTATCTTAATAAAAAGACCTGCCGTTCCTTAGTCTGCAAGAAGGAACGGCAGGTCTTTTCATAAGAAAATATTACCTCAAGAAACACCAATACTTTTGTCAATATAAACTAAGCCATCACAATCAGAATTCTACATTTTTCCCTGTAAACATTTGGTTTTGTGACAGATGCTCAATATAAATAAGAAAAAAGCTGAATAAAATACTTATTATTATATTTTGCCAAACATACCCCTTTAAAATAATTGTGCATTATTTCCCTCTCTTTGATAGGTGGTCCGCATCCTGAAGGACCTGAAGGAGAAGCACCCAGACAAAGACCTGGACCAGCTGATTGAGATGGCCAACTACTCGGCCCTGGTCCACCAGAAGAAGAGCCGCGCCTTCTACCGAGTCCAGGCCACGCGCCTGATGATTGGTGCCGGCAACGTATTAAGGAAACACGCTGCCGAGCACTCACGGCGCAGCGCAGGCCAGGATACTGACAAGGCCACATGCTCGCACATTTGTTTTGAAAGTGCACAGTTCCAGTGCACAGAAAACTGTGGCTCTCTGAGCATCGGGGTGATCCTTGAGGGGGGGACGGGCCAGAACACTTTCTATGTGGACTACTGTACAGAAAACGGCTCCGCTAATGCTGGGGCAGACTATGACTTCACTAAGGGAACACTGATGTTTAAGCCAGGGGAGGGCCGCAAGGAGATCAAGGTGAGCAGGGGAAAAGGGGACTGTTTTTAAACATTGTGTTCTTTTTGTCTTACCTTTTGCACCCATGAAGAGTGACCAGAGGTGGGAGAAGAACTCAGATCTTGTACTTAAGTAAAAGTAGAAATGATAGAGTGTAGAATACTCTGTTACATGTACAGTACAAGTAAATATCCTGATTTCAAAATGTTACTTATGTAAAAGTACAAAAGTATTAGCATCTAAATATACTTAAAGTACCAAAAGGAAAAGTACTTATCATGCAAATTGGTAATTTTAAGAATAATATATATGATATGTTCTGATTATAATGATTGATCATTAAAGTGTTCTCAAAGCTGGTAAAGATGCAGCTAGTTTTAAAGACTTTGTATACTGCAGGGTAGCTTGCAAATGTATAAAATAAATGTAGTGTGGTAAAAGTACACGATTTACCTCTGAATTGTGGTATGTGCAAAGTAGCATAACATGGAAATACTCAAGTAAAGTATAAGTATCTCAAAATTGTACTTAAGTACAGTACATTGACTATACTCTGTTCTCTCCAGGTGGGCATCTTGGACGATGATGTCTTTGAGGAGGACGAGCATTTCTTTGTGCGTCTTCAGAACCTGAGGTTAGAGGAAGGTGGAGGTGAAGGAACAGGAACTCCACCACAGGCCAGGCTGGTGGAGCCCCTGCAGGCCACCATCACTATCTTGGATGATGACCATGCTGGCATCTTCACCTTCGGCCAGCGCGTGCTGCGGGTCAGTGAGAGCACTGGCATGCTGAAAGTGACGGTGGTGAGGAACTCTGGCTCCAGGGGGACCGTCAGTGTGCCGTACCGTACGGAGGACGGCAGTGCCAAGGCGGGGGTGGACTACGAGGAGGCCAGAGGAGAGGTGGAGTTCACCAATGAGCAGACCAGGTAAGGCCCAGTCAGAAGTGTTCACTCACATCAAAGCCCATTGGCTTCTCTGTGCCACAAATACATAGTTACATTTTTAAAAGCAAAATGATTTCCTAAACATTTAGTTCTGGTAGTTTTTAGACAGAAGCAAATGTGTTGAAGATCTGGTGCCCTGGTGAGTGTTTCAGGAAGTATGACAGTGTTTGTGAGATTGACTCAAAATGAACTATAGGATGTGAAGAAGAAGAAACCCTTAACAAAATTCAGGTTTCCAACTTTGAATGAAACTGTAACTTGTTTGTTTTTATCTTTGTTTTATCAGACACTCTCGTTGAGATTAGGTTATCTTAAACATTCACAAGAACCCAAACAGCAAAACAGAGACAACACAACTAGATGGAGTTAAAAACCTGAGATAATGGAGCTGTTGAATCTCCCAGTGGACTGCAGGGCTCTAGTTAGAGAGTAGATTGCAGTTCCTCCCATTTCAAATGTGAAAATCTGAAACCAGTTCTGCCAACATTACAGCATGCAGTACAGGTATCTAATGTTAAGTAGTTACTAGAAGTTGTACTGTTGTTACTAGATTCAAAGAAAGACAGAGATGTGAGGTCTTTTGGTTGCTTTAATGTAGGTATAGTTGGTTGTTTAGAACGCATTTTGCTACATTTTCTGAAACTGAAATATGGTCTGACAGCCTCTGATACTTGGTCATTATGAACACAAACACATGAGGCAATGCCAAGAAAACTGCACACGGGGAGATCTATTTTGTTATTAGCTAAATTAAATCAAAAATAAATCAAATGTATTGATTCAGTTTCATCTGTGATAAATACCAGTAGACTAATCAATGTTTTAATCAGTGTTCTATTAGCTACAATAGACCAGGAGTGTTAAACGGACTGCACCAAATCATCAATCAGTCCTAACAACATTCCATAGGCAAGTAGACATCACACTGATTCAAATGGCAGGGAATTATATATGTATGCCACATGCACATTTATGGAAGGTTCATTTTTCAGAACTTAGATAAAAAAATACACACAACTTGATAGGAGGAAAGACAAAGATAAAAACGAATATATTCCCTCGATTGGTCCGAACCAGGTTATGTCTGCAGCATACGTCGCTATGCTGATCTAGCCAGGCTAAAAGAGAACCTCGCTTACACACTAATCCGGCTTCACAGTACACCCCTCATTAGTACTCACGCACAGCTCGCTCAGTGCTTTTATATTGATACTACTTTAAACGATTAGTGCTTCTAAGGAAGGGGCACCTGACCCTCAGCGGAGGATTACCAGGAGGAGGAGGAGGTCCTATTGGACCACTTGACACCTAAAGATAATCCCATCCCTGATCAGGTGTGGGGAACCTCCAGTCACCCCATGTTAACTGACAGATCCTTTTCCCATTAAACTTTCAGGTTATATAAGCTGTGTTTGCACATGGTCTAATTGTACACTTAGTGAAAGACTTTGTTATGTAACATGGCCAATGAATGGATGCGTTACAGTCAAGGTAATTAGACTCCTGCGGTGACCATTAAGCTATGTGTGTATTGATACTCTCCTTTCATTTTGTCAGGAATTCCTTTTCCATTTTCCTCAAATGAACTTAATAGACATTGGTTAACCAGGCTGTTGTTGTGCTACAAGTCATTATATTCAGCGCCATTTCATTGGCACACTCAGGAGTAATAGCACACTATGTCTAAGCATGAATTATTTAAAGGCCCATTGTGATGAATTATTGAGCTCACTTCAATTTGTGATGTGATTTAGATGGTAGAGCAAATCTTAAAGATGTGGAGGTATTGTGTATCAACTGTATGCACTTTATGCTTCGTAGTAGTTATGGCTTCTTTCTTTGAATAAAAAACATGTATGCATGCTTTCATATCTCCAGTCAGGTCTTACAGGTGCGCATTATAAATGTGGCGGAGTACGAGAAGCAGGAGAACTTCTTCATCGTGCTGGAGGACCCAAAATGGTTGAAGCGGGGCCTCTCTGGTAAATGTTACTAAAACTAAAATCTCATTATTAATTTATAAGGGACTAGTTTTAATCATGATAAGGTAATGCTGATTATGTCAAAGAGGAATTGTTCATTTCACACACAATAGATGGCAGTAATATATCATATCTAGTGTCTAATTATACAACAGCAACACATGCGGCTGAATGTTCGGCACCTGCATCAGAGTAACTGACTGCATTTTAGCACGCTAATGTACCCTGCCCTGATATTAGTGTTCTTATATTGTAATAAATCAGTGTCTGTCTTTCTTCACAGCCCTGCTGCTTAACCAGGGTAAGATAGCTTGGGTGTTAAAGGTGCAATGTGCAGCATTTATAAAAACCAGCATATTCAAATTAGCCAATAACCAAAAATCTCTTATTTTGTCTTAAAGGGGACCTATTATGCAAAATCCTCTTCTTCATGTCTCTTCTTCATCAACATGTGTCCCCTCTTCTTCATGTCTCTTCTACATCAACATGTGTCCCCTCTTCTTCATGTCTCTTCTTCATCAACATGTGTCCCCTCTTCTTCATGTCTCTTCTACATCAACATGTGTCCCCTCTTCTTCATGTCTCTTCTTCATCAACATGTGTCCCCTCTTCTTCATGTCTCTTCTACATCAACATGTGTCCCCTCTTCTTCATGTCTCTTCTACATCAACATGTGTCCCCTCTTCTTCATGTCTCTTCTACATCAACATGTGTCCCCTCTTCTTCATGTCTCTTCTACATCAACATGTGTCCCCTCTTCTTCATGTCTCTTCTACATCAACATGTGTCCCCTCTTCTTCATGTCTCTTCTTCATCAACATGTGTCCCCTCTTCTTCATGTCTCTTCTACATCAACATGTGTCCCCTCTTCTTCATGTCTCTTCTTCATCAACATGTGTCCCCTCTTCTTCATGTCTCTTCTACATCAACATGTGTCCCCTCTTCTTCATGTCTCTTCTACATCAACATGTGTCCCCTCTTCTTCATGTCTCTTCTACATCACCACGTGTCCCCTCTTCTTCATGTCTCTTCTACATCACCATGTGTCCCCTCTTCTTCATGTCTCTTCTACATCACCATGTGTCCCCTCTTCTTCATGTCTCTTCTACATCACCATGTGTCCCCTCTTCTTCATGTCTCTTCTACATCAACATGTGTCCCCTCTTCTTCATGTCTCTTCTACATCAACATGTGTCCCCTCTTCTTCATGTCTCTTCTACATCAACATGTGTCCCCTCTTCTTCATGTCTCTTCTACATCAACATGTGTCCCCTCTGTGGAAAGAGACCCTGAAAGTTTCAGGAACAAATATTCTCTCTCTTTTTGTCCTGATCCATTTCTATAAAAACCTGTCTGAAAAAGAGCTGATCAAATTTTGGCCGCTTTATGATGTCACAAGGTTTTGTTGGCTTGTGTAACCATTAGCCAATCACCAACCAAGGTAACCCCCCCCCACCTTATCACCTGAATCTCCTCCTAGAGCACCATTGAATTCTTTGTAACCAAATGTCTCTCAGAGGGGCGTGGGGAGGGGCTCCTTATTTTCATCTGAACTAACAGACAGAGAATCAGCACTTTGGAAACAGGTCTCAAACAGAGGGGATTATGGGATGCTGCAATGATCTGTTTGGTGTTTGGAGGCCAAACACTTCAGAGACATGTTTTGTATACATCTGAGACCTATAATATATTGATGAAAAACAGTACAATAGGGGACCTTTAATGGAGCACTTTTAATAATATTAATCAGCAGTGAAGTTAGAGTGTGTTTCTTTAAATGAATTACATAAAACAACCACCCTCAAAAACAGCAGATCTCCTGGCCATACTTTTACACTTCCTAGCATTGTGTGTTGTGTTTGTTTAAAAGAGCAAAAACACGGTTTCATTCTTCCTCGACAAAAAGCAATGGGTTTTTCCCAATGCTTTTTGGAATATTGCAGAAAATAAGATCTGTGGCAAACACACCTTTATGATACTTTCAAGTTCTGTTCAGCAGGATAATGTAATCGTCTGAAGTATAAAGCCAATGTTAAGCTATAAATGAACTACATGAAAGTTGCATGGCTGTGTACTGCCTCTGCTAAGCTAAGGGCGGACAAAGACCACAGGTGGTGTTGGAGTAGGCCCTTCTACCGTGGATGGCTCCAGCTGGTGATCAGGGGCCTCATTTATAAACGGTGCGTACGCTCAAAAGATGGCGTACGCCAGTTTCGAAGCGATGTTTGCGATTTATAAAACACAAACTTGACGGGAAAACGTGCGGTCCTCCACGCAAACTCTGACCCATGCGTACGCACTACCAGGCCCGGTTCTACGGGAGTGCATAAGGGTGCATTGCACCCTCAGTTGAGTCGTTATGCACCCTCATTTGAAAAATGAAAAGTGAAACAAAAAAAATTAAAAGTGAAAAATATTACATATATAATAACAATAATAATAATAGTAGTAAGAAGAAGAAGAAGAAGAAGAAGAATATAGTTAAAATAAATTGTAATTGTGGTTAAATAACATTGTCTGCTGCATTTATTTGGTCAATTTAAACGGCAAGTAACGTTATCATGTCAGGTGCGCGTGACCTGTGCCGCTGCGCATTCATCATCTGCAAGGTGCTTACACAGCAGTCAATGATGGACATCAGAAAATGGTTAAAACAACCAGCCCTTATCGCCAGCAGTAACACTGCATCTACTGCAGATAATAACAGTTCAGATCATGGGGACATTACGTTACCCGCGGCCACTGTCGTGGACAACAACGTCCTCCCGCCCGAATGCTGGCTTTGCCCGCAGCCGTCTTCGTTGCCCCAAACACCGCCACCCCTCGGCGGCCCGCAAGTGCCAGAGGACCTCGGCAAAACAGAGCCTGCCCAGGTATATTTAAAAAAGTACCCAACTCGCCTTTACAGTGGGGTAAGGTGCTCATTTCGCAGCTCATGGTTTCAAAACAGAGATTGGCTGGAAAATTCATGTAAAAAAGATGCCATCTTCTGCTATGCATGTAGACATTTCGGTTCAAGTACGTCAGATGCCTTCACCACAACTGGCTACAACAACTGGCGCCATGCTCTTGTACGTGATAAGGGACTGGGAAGGCATGAATCAAGAAAAGAGCACATGAATTCAGTGGCTTTGTGGAAGGAGAGGTTCTGAAACAGTTCTGTTTCATATGGGTGTTGAGATGTATCCATAGATCTCTTCATTTTGCTCTCAAAGTGCACCACATTGATACTTTTAACTTAAATATTTAAAAATAAATCTTCCCGGGGAGCATACCCCCGGACCCCTCTAGAGGAGGTGAGGACCCCCCTAGTGGGTGTTAGGTCAACTCCCCACTTATAAAAATAGCACTGCACCCTCTCTAATCTCAGATGCACCCTGAGTCATTTTGTTGTGGAACCGGGCCTGCGCACTACGCACAACAACGGGAGAGACGAGAAACTGCGACACCGTTGGCAGAAGGAAGAATGGAGAGAAATATGTGAAAATAATACCATAAATAAAATATTACCTCTCATTTATCATATATGTAGAATTCATTTTCACAGATTGATTAAAGCCAATCTTAAAATGATTAACCAAACGCCTGTTTGCGACTCCTCAGTGCACACAAAAACATAACTTGGAGAAATAAATAAATACGGATATGTTATTGAAAACAACCTCAAATATGTTGTGTTAATGTTATGACATGTATTCTCATAAATGATGTGGTAAGCAGGAGGACAGAATTACGTCTAAACTGAGGCCGTTTTGCTTTTCTATAGGTTATAGACACGAGCATAGTTTTATATACTATCATGTTTAATCAAGTTTTATGACGTTTGCTAAGACTTGATAAGTCACTCATAAAACACAGGAGTATGGAAACTAAGAACACCATATATTTGGTAGATTTGGCAGCTGATATTACACAACACATTTGTTTTTATTTCATTTAACTGGTGGATATAGAGTTGCTGCAGGGGGGGGGGGGCTGGTTGACAGCTGGAACACAAACCACCAAAGGAAAAAATAAGCATTAATTGACCCCGATACTTTCTTACAGTTTCTCCTCATGGGGGGGTCTCCTGTCCCCGGCACAAACACACTGACGCACTGCCTGAGGAAGGTTATGTGTATTGTGTCATTAACTTTTTTCGGACCACTTATTTATTTATTTTGTTGACGATCAATCCGACCTTCATGCTGCTACTCTGGTTCAAACTGCATCCACCAAAACAATGATTTATCTCCACCTGCCCAAAATAACCAACATCTGACACGGGGTCCTTCTCACTTCGGTTAAATGGATTCCTTGCGTCCCTCACTTGCGTAGTTTCCCTGCGACTATTCCCTCCCACCAGGGAAGCATGGAGAGACGCAAGGAAACCACGAGAAGCAGGGAAATGAGTTTTAAGAGCAATGGGACGTCCTTTCCTCCGGAGCGTCACGTGAAGCGACGACCGTTTGTGATGACGCAGCACAGCTGATCGTCTGACAGCAGCTCTGTCCCCGTTATTTTCACAAACACCCCCGCCACACATTTACTGACACAAACATTTGTATCATCTGTTGTAGACCCAAATAAATAAAATCAAATAAGAACTAATTCTCAAAAAAGATAAACGCCATTCTTAAAATGTATAAACGAACAATAGTTAGATTAATATTGATTAGAGTGCACAATAGAAATAAAATAATTGAGAGAAGAAAAAGAGATATGTTATCTATCAAAACCCAGTTAGATTAACATTCATTGGATTGCACACTTTGTTTGTTTGGATATGTAACACATTAACATTGTAATAGCACTTAATGACTGACTGAATGGAAATGACAATAAATGAAAATGCAAAACGAAAAAAGCGATCATGAAAATGTTTCCAACACATGAATAAAATGATTTTTGACCACTTTGTTGTTCAGATATATCACATATTTGTAACTAAATGAAACATTCATTGAAACAAAACACGGTATAAACTGAGGAGTGACTCCCGTGAGGTTCATGTATTTTCTTCACTCCGCTGGGAAACTGCTCTCATGTCAAGAAGCATCAGATCAGTGCATGCACTGCCTCGTCCAATCAGTGAGCGATACACAGTAAGGGGGCGGGGCGAGTGTCTGAGGATTTCATCGGAGGATGGTCTGGTGGTTCCTCGATTATAGCTCCTCCATTATCGCTCCTCGTTCCTCACTCCTCGGTTCTAAGATAATAAGGCCACTGGGACGCTACTCAAGATGGCGCAGACAAATCAACTTCCGGTGAGACCGAGGAGCGAGGAAATGAAAAATAAGAGAAGTGAAACGCAGCCAGGGGTCCTTCTCACTTCGGTTAAATGGATTCCTTGCGTCCCTCACTTGCGTCGTTTCCCTGTGACTATTCCCTCCCACCAGGGAAGCATGGAGAGACGAAAGGAAACCACGAGAAGCAGGGAAATGAGTTTTAAGAGCAATGGGACGTCCTTTCCTCCGTAGCGTCACGTGAAGCGACGACCGTTTGTGATGACGCAGCACAGCTGATCGTCTGACAGCAGCTCTGTCCCCGTTATTTCCACACACACCCCCGCCTCACATTTACTGACACAAACATTTGTATCATCTGTTGCAGACCCCAATAAATCAAATCAAATAAGAACTAATTCTCAAAAAAGATAAACGCCATTCTTAAAATGTATAAACGAACAATAGTTAGATTAATATTGATTAGAGTGCACAATAGAAATAAAATAATTGAGAGAAGAAAAAGAGATATGTTATCTATCAAAACCCAGTTAGATTAACATTCATTGGATTGCACACTTTGTTTGTTTGTGTGGATATGTAGCAAATTAACCTTTTAATAGCACTTAATGACTGACTGAATGGAAATTACAATAAATGAAAATGTAAAACGAAAAAAGCGATCATGAAAATGTTTCCAATAAATGATAATAAAATTATTTTTGACCACTTTGCTGTTCAGATATATCACATATTTGTAACTAAATGAAACATTCATTGAAACAAAACACGGTATAACTGAGGAGTGACTCCCGTGAGGTTCATGTATTTTCTTCACTCCGCTGGGAAACTGCTCTCATGTCAAGAAGCATCAGATCAGTGCATGCACTGCCTCGTCCAATCAGTGAGCGATACACAGTAAGGGGGCGGGGCGAGTGTCTGAGGATTTCATCGGAGGATGGTCTGGTGGTTCCTCGATTATAGCTCCTCCATTATCGCTCCTCGTTCCTCACTCCTCGGTTCTAAGATAATAAGGCCACTGGGACGCTACTCAAGATGGCGCAGACAAATCAACTTCCGGTGAGACCGAGGAGCGAGGAAATGAAAAATAAGAGAAGTGAAACGCAGCCAGGGGTCCTTCTCACTTCGGTTAAATGGATTCCTTGCTTCCCTCAGTGGCGTCGTTTACCTGTGACTATTCCCTCCCACCAGGGAAGCATGGAGAGACGCAAGGAAACCACGAGAAGCAGGGAAATGAGTTTTAAGAGCAATGGGACGTCCTTTCCTCCGGAGCGTCACGTGAAGCGACGACCGTTTGTGATGACGCTGCACAGCTGATCGTCTGACAGCAGCTCTGTCCCCGTTATTTCCACACACACCCCCGCCTCACATTTACTGACACAAACATTTGTATCATCTGTTGCAGACCCAAATAAATCAAATCAAATAAGAACTAATTCTCAAAAAATATAAACGCCATTCTTAAAATGTATAAACGAACAATAGTTAGATTAATATTGATTAGAGTGCACAAAAGAAATAAAATAATTGAAAGAAGAAAAAGAGATATGTTATCTATCAAAACCCAGTTAGATTAACATTCATTGGATTGCACACTTTGTTTGTGTGGATATGTAGCAAATTAACCTTTTAATAGCACTTAATGACTGACTGAATGGAAATGACAATACATGAAAATGTAAAACGAAAAAAGCGATCATGAAAATGTTTCCAATAAATGATAATAAAATTATTTTTGACCACTTTGTTGTTCAGATATATCACATATTTGTAACTAAATGATACATTCATTGAAACAAAACATGGTATAAACTGAGGAGAGAGAGGTTCATGTGTTTTCTTCACTCCGCTGGGAAACTGCTCTCATGTCAAGAAGCATCAGATCAGTGCATGCACTGCCTCGTCCAATCAGTGAGCGGTACACAGTAAGGGGGCGGGGCGAGTGTCTGAGGATTTCATCGGAGGATGGTCTGGTGGTTCCTCGGTTATAGCTCGTCCATTCTCGCTCCTCGGTCCTCCGGCAAAAATAAGGCCATTGGGACGCTACTCAAGATGGCGCAGACAAATCAACTTCCGGTGAGACCGAGGAGCGAGGAAATGAAAAATAAGAGAAGTGAGAAGGGCCCAGGGTGTGAGATGTCTTTTTTAGCTGTTCTGTCGTCATTTCCTGCGATCTTCTTCATGCAGTCAATCAAAATGAATATTAATACGGGGCGTTTCTTTGACTATTTATAGGCAAATATGAGCGTTACGCGAAGCTCGCAAAAGCTGCGCCACATTTCGAGTTGATTGGAATTATATCAAACAATTATTGATTGTGATTTATAAAGGGAGACCGGTCCTACACGTCCTACGCCGGTACGCAGTGTTTTATGAATCGGAAAATGTCTGTGCGTATTTATTTGCTTTGTCCTACGTAAGCAACCTTCCCACGTGAATCCTACGCAAGGCTTTATAAATGAGGCCCCAGAGCTTAAGTGCAATATTTACATGGAGGTATGCATCGGAATTATAAACAAGTCTTCTTTTTAATTGGTACCCTACTGGTTTACACTTTTAAATGATCCCTTGAGCAGAAACTCACAGGCATAGCTAGCTGTCTATTTCACCTAACAAGCTTAGCAATTCATATGCTTTGAGTCATAGATTGGACATTTTAGAGTTAAAGGTCACATGTCATGGCCATTTCCACTGATCATAATTCCATTGTTGAGGTCTACTAGAATAGATTTACATTGTGCAATGTTCCAAACTCACATTGGTTTCGCATACAGCATCTCTGTATAGTATGTGTATTCAGCAGTATTCACTCTCTCCACTAAACGGCTCGTTGCAGCTCTTGCCCCCCCCCCCCCCCCTCCCTGTGAGCCCAGTGTGCTCCGATTGGTCGGGACCAGTCGGGACATTGTGAATCGCGCTGAGCTCCGTGGAGGTGTTGTTTCCTTGTTTAGCGATACACAGCGAAACACAGCCAAACTCACCCTGAGCACACACAAAGTCACAGCCGAAGTAAAAACAATAAGTGTGGCTTGATATTGAGTAAGAAAAGGGTTGATAAACGCTGTGAGAATGGGTCTGCAGAGAGAATTTCGCCGCGATCCCAACTGTCTGTTATCAGCCTGCAGCCAGGGAGGAGAAATCAGCAGAGCTGCCTGCACTGAGTGTGTGAGGAAGTCCGTGGATTGGTCAATTTGGACCAATCAGCGGGGGCTTAACGTAACGGCTCTGCGGACGTAACGTAACGACTCCACGGATTGGTCCATTTCGTTCCGGGGACGACATGACGTCATGATGTACCCGGAAGAATCAAATGGACAGTGACGTATCTCCAACGAGGCGTTTTGGGGAGGTATTTTCTGTTTTAGAGTTTTACTCGCTACATGGTGTACTTTGAGGGTTTTGACTCTGCACAACGTTTACATGCATAACAACCTTCATAACACACAAGGGGACGGGTAATAACCGGAAAAGCATGACATGTCACCTTTAAGTCAAAGACTGAGGTGTGAGTCGGTGAAGAAAATTGCCTAAATTCAGGGCTAAAATTCCTCTTGGCCACTCCAGTTCAACAGGAAGTTCACAATATCAAGACGTTCTGTAAATGCCACATGCAGCACCTTTACAACTGTTTGAAAGTGTGTGTGAAGTACGGAATGTATTTATCTCTTAATGCTTGAGGTTTTGGCCTGTGCCATTGGCTGAGGTTAAGGATATGTGTGTGTTTTGTAAATTACACAATCAATACAATAATATACATGATACTTACATCTCTGTGCTCCCTAAAAGGCAACCCCACCCCTGAGGAGGAGGAGGCCCGGAGAATATCTGAGATGGGCAAACCTATTTTAGGGGAGCACAGCCGGCTAGAGGTCGTCATAGAGGAGTCCTGTGAGTTTAAGGTGGGTGACCGGCTGAAAGAAGGCGTTACAATAGCAGTAAACCAACACTCTCTGTACAAATAGATCACTGAAAACAAGATGTACAAGTATATCTACATTTTTGTATATACTGTTTGCCTAAATTGACCTAAGTTACTTACATTATATACATTCTTAATTTGAAGCAGTAGCATTAATATGAAAGGCTTTAACAAGTATTAGCACCAGAGGGATTGGGGTTTTAAATCTGTTATTTATGTATGTGTGTGTGTGTGTATTGGTTAATTAACTGCCTCACACCCTCTTACTCATCAGACTCCCAATGGAGTGCTAGACCAGGTACAGTTTCTGCCTGCATCCTGTGTGTCATTGGACTTATTAGTCATTTCTCATCTCGTGTTCAATTTTTGTGTACTCTCATTATACTCTTAACGTTATCATATTAATAGATACCCTTTTTGAATTATCCACTTTTCATATGCTTTACAAGTATCTTGAGTTCAGATATTTGTTCATTCATGTGTGCTGTTTGAATTTTTCAGTTGGTTCACTTATTAGTCATTTCTCATCTCGTGTTCAATTTTTGTGTACTCTCATTATACTCTTAACGTTATCATATTAATAGATACCCTTTTTGAATTATCCACTTTTCATATGCTTTACAAGTATCTTGAGTTCAGATATTTGTTCATTCATGTGTGCTGTTTGAATTTTTCAGTTGGTTTATGTTTTATTAAATTCAAAGTCAGTGATTTTGTGGGTATACTATTAATGTTAGTGTGTTCATATTTGCCATATTCGTTTTGCAATTCACAACAGGACCTTGTCTGCATCATTAGCCTCTGATATAAGCTTACTTTATTTCATCATGTTGCTGATAATCCCACAAACAAAATGATCTGTTTATATAAAGGTAAAATACAGATATGTTATGTGTTGTAACAGAACACAGTGGACAAACTCCTGAAGGACACAAATCTGGCTGTAGTGATCGGCACTCACTCATGGAGAGAGCAGTTCATTGGAGCACTCACAGTCTGTGCAGGTCAGTGGCTATTTTATATTTGTTTTTTATTTCATCATTAAATGTACTGGTTAGGTTTGATTTTTCTGTGATTTAACATTCCTGTCATTTTGTAAAAACATTCAATATCCTAATTCCTTTTCTTGTCGGAGTTAGACAAGAAGATTGATATCACTTTTATGTCAGTCAGTTAAATATGGAACTACAGCTAGCAGCGGATGAGCCTAGTTTGGCATAAACTGTGGAAATGAGGAGAGACAGCCAACCTGGCTATGTTCAAATGTTACAAAATCTGCCAACCTGCTCATATCACAAGCTCACTTATGTCAGATACCATTTGTGTAAATCGTAGAAAAAATGAGAAGTTGTATTTTTACTTCTGGCTGCATCCAAATTGTTAACGTATTATTTTGTGGAAGGTGTGTTTGATCTATCTTCACTGTGTCTCCCTCGATCAGGTGACGGAGATGAAGAGGAGGGACAAGAGCAGCGAAGTCCGAACTGCTGCGACTATTTCATACACATAGTGTGCGTTTTCTGGAAGGTTCTGTTTGCCTTCTGCCCGCCCACACAGTACTGGAACGGATGGGCGTGCTTCATAGTGTCAATCTCTGTCATTGGTTTCTTAACAGCCATTATTGGAGACCTAGCTTCCCACTTCGGCTGCACCGTCGGCCTCAGAGACACGGTCACTGCGGTGGTCTTTGTAGCGCTGGGGACCTCCCTTCCTGGTAAGTGACACTACTGAGTAGGGAGGTACACACAGTAACCCAAATGTATAAGTCAGTGCATGTATTCCAGAAGTCTTAGCCTGAATAAGAAGAACTGAATTATTTCATTTACATTGTTACAGCAAAGTATAGATAGAGACGAAATTAATAGAACACCACTATGTTAAAGGCATGCACATATTATTTTAAATAAAAAATATTACAGTTTACAGATGTACACATTCAGGTAGGTATGTAGCAGCAGTATTTATAAAATTAAAATAATTGTAACATTGTAGAATGAAGTGTGGTATATACCAGTATTAAAATATTATGGCACATAGTTACATAAAGATTCTTGTTACAGTAATGGATGGATGGACTAAATAACTAATTAACTAAGAGTAGCAGCCAGTAGTAATAATAATATTAGCTAGCAACTTATTGCACATAAGAGTTGTTGTACAACAGTGGGGTCGTAGTGTTTGTTTGTTTGGCTTTTCTTTTTTTTTCTTTTTTTACATTATTGCACATTGGTGTTATTTTATAACAGCGGTGTCATAGTCTGTGTTGTTGTATATTTGGTGGTCTACACTTTTCGAACACTGTGTATTTATCTTGGTGTTTATTTTCCCAGATACCTTTGCCAGTAAAGTGGCTGCCACTCAGGACCAGTATGCGGATGCATGTGTGGGAAACGTGACAGGAAGCAACGCGGTCAATGTGTTTTTGGGCATTGGGCTGGCCTGGTCCGTGGCTGCCATCTATTGGCAAGTCAAAGGTAAAGTCTTCCGCGTTGACCCCGGCTCGCTGGCCTTCTCCGTCACACTCTTCACCATTTTCGCATTCTTCGCTATGGGAGTGTTGATGATACGCCGGAGGCCGTCTATAGGCGGCGAACTGGGTGGCCCTCGAGTCACCAAAGTCCTCACTTCTCTGCTCCTCTTCGGACTCTGGTTCCTTTACATCCTCTTCTCCAGCTTGGAGGCCTACTGCCATATAAAGGGCTTCTAAGAGAGCACAGCAGGGGAGAGAAGTGACTGCAGGATCACAAACACACATCACCAGGACATTACACTTCTGTTCCATAACTACTACTGAGAAGACCAATCATCACCGCTGCCATGGTTCAAAATAAAATGTATACGCAGACTGGCACAGCAAACCGTTACGTCATATCCACTGCAGGACAGTCCCAGTCATCCGAATGTATTGTGACTGCACTGAATAATTTTCACTTAAGTGGACTAAATAACGTGCAGTGACATTTTATGATAAAGTTGAGCAAAGCTGGCCGGCATGTTCTCTGTGAAGTCCCTGGATTTTGTTTGATACCTGACAGCTGACAACCTGGATTTCAAGTTTGGACTCATTTCTCCTCATAATAAAATGTGTAAAACAATGACAGCTGCTTTTACACAGATGTGCAATGTACACTTGAGAAACTGAAACATTGACTTTAATTAATTAAATGTATTATGTCAACAAATTACACATTGTATTAGGTTAGTTGAAAGCAATACTTTTAAGTTTAAATACAAAATATTAGTTTCAACTTAATATTATTGCTTTGAACTATTAAGTTGAACCTTATAGTTTGTATTCAAACTTTAACTTATTGCTTTCAACAAACCTAATACAATTATGTGTAATTTGTTGACATACAGTTATACATTTAATTTAAGTTAACATGTTTTCAGTGTAAGGACAACTGTGATCATTGTGTTTATACCATTGTCACACGGAAGCTCCATTTCAAACTCACATCTGTGTTGTCATTTAGCTGCATAAACCAATAATGATGTCTCTTTAATTGAGTTAATCTGTCATTTAGCTCAAAGAATAAAGTGTTGTTGCTATGGTTAGTGTAGAGCAGTGCTTCTCAAAGTGTGGTCCGCGGACCACTGGTGGTCCGTGAGCGCCCCCTAGTGGTCCGTGAGTATATTGGTAAAATTTCACATTTGAAATTAATTAATTAATTAAAGTTTTCCGCACTCTCGCGGGAATATCTCCTCAATGGAGCGAACTTAAGTTTCACTTTCGATTGCATGATATAGCCCAGATAAACACCTTCATCACACATGTGGCCACTTGTTTGTACCATTTTCAGGCGATTTGTAAAAAACGATGTGTTTTTGGATATTTGTGGAGTTAGGTGGTCCGCGAGTGTTTTTTTATTGGTTAAGTGGTCCTTGGTATGAAAAAGTTTGAAAAACACTGGTGTAGAGGAAACTTCTGTGTAGCAATGCTGTAGGAGTCACCGACTCAGGAAGGAGACACGGTAGGAGCAGTAGCTTTGATGTCAAACACTGATGGTTTATTTCGAGTTACGGCCAGAGGATTCACATCACAAGTCCAAGAGCCAGAGGTTCTGACTTCACGGTAGAGTTGCCACGTCAATTCTGGAGCGCCTCTCTCTTGCCAACCCATTTAACTGGTTCCACAGAGAGTCATCAACATGTTTTGATAAGATAGCTTTAGATAGTTTGGGCACACTAAGTTACCAGCTTCCGCCACTTATGGCCTTGCATATGTCATGCCCTGGAGTCCTCAGACAACAGAGAAGGAAGTGTCCCAGTGTACCCACAATACAGACCATCTGTGACCCAGTATTGACCGGTCACAGAATGGGAACAATAACATTATTGGCTGAAGCAGCCTGTGCCCTTAAAGGAGGTAAACAGACGTCAAGGTTTGTCCTGTATGTCACATCTTGGCGTCTATGATAATTATTTCCCTAACAGTTAGCTTCAGTTTTTCACACAGATTTAGAACAGTGGTAATACAACTGTTTAGTGGAAGTGTTTGAGTTGTCTTGGTGTACTATTTTGAATGGTACTGCCAGCCAATCATAACTGTTTTCTGGTGTACAAGCACAGTTTGGTTACAATCCTTCAGTTTGTGAGATAAGCAGCTGTAAAATCTCACACTGATAAACTGTGTTTCTGTTGAGTTATGTGTCACGAGGCACCGTTTAGTTTAATGTAATGCACCTCCTGAATTTATTCACACTATAAGTATTGATAAAATTAACAATCAAAAGTATTACCCCATTGTTGAAAAGTATTATTGACATTGAATTACAAAGGCAATGAATCTCTACTAAGCTGTGGAATTATAAAAATGTACCTAGTATCTGCCATTGAGTGTGATTGTTTTATTTACCCCTAACATCTGTTTATTTATCAATGGTGTCATTTAATATCTTTGTAATTTAATGTATTTGAGCTGAAATTAACAAAAATATATTGTACTTTATTGTAAGCTGTATCAATTACATTGAAATGTACCTGAGTGTGTCTTCATTGGATTACCCACATTGGTTGTGTAAGTATTACAGCCTCATAAGTGGAGAAGAAGACAACCTTAATATCAAGATATTTTCAAAGAATATGACATGTCATTGAGGACATTTATTCACACGGCCTTAAATACATGCCATGCTCCAAAATTCTCCTTAATGCCATAGAAGAGGTCTTTTCAACATATATATCCAAACAAAAGTGGAAAGCAGCTTTGGGAATATTGAAAGGATAAAAATCGTTATTTAAATATTTAATATTTGTAAGTATTTGAATATGGTAAAAGCAAGACTCAGACTATAGCCCTACCTGACAGACCAACCTAATGTTTAAGCCTTTATACAGGATGACATGATGACTGGATCCAGACCAGTGCTAATGTCTGGAAGAAATCCTCTGCGTCAGTGGCTAAAGACGCATCACTTGGTCTAAACCAAGCTAGATAAATCTTTCTGAGATTATTAACATTCAAATGAGCCTACTTGGTATTGTGTAGTAGTACACATACTCAGAGGGAAGTGGAACAGTCAAAAAACGGTTTTGCCTTGCCATTTAAACATGCAAAATGTGGCAGGGACACTGATGAAACTGTTATTTAGAAATAGGACACACAGGGACAAGGGTGCTTAAGCATTAATGATGCTGGTTGTGTCACTTTAATTGTACATTATCCATTTCCTGTAGAGAGAAGTGCTAACATACAATAAAGTTAGGGGGTGTGGAGTTTTTTCTAAATGTTGGGAACATTTCCAGGTTATTCAAATTCTAGCTATTTAGGTTAGTGTTTTTTTATGATTCACCGCCTTGTTAGAGGTTAACAGTGTCTGTGTTTTGACAGCTCAATGGGCCATTGTTTAACCTCACTTCCCCTCTGGAGGACACAATAATATTAATGATTGTCAGGGTAAAGTAATCAATTGACGCTCTGCACCATTTAAGTGGAAATAATTACATATATGAGCACCCTGGCCAGGTGGCGGTTTCATGCGAAAAGTTCGAGATAAATGTTGTTTCCATCTGCAGAATAACATGTGATTTCAGAATCAATTGAAAACACTTTACTTTGGGTAGGCCAACGTAAAATCAAGTCGTTGAGCAAAACTCAGTTTTCCCACAATTCCTGAATGCAGCATTTGCACGGCACAGCCGGGGACAGGACAACATGGCTGCTGCTGCTGCAGGCCGATACTTCGGAGAAGGTGGCAGAGCAACGAAAAGACAGAAAACTGAGGACGGAGGAATGACAACGGTGGGGCTCTGCCTTTGAACTTGATAGCTATTGTTTTATTTTAACAAAATGTGTTAGGTTCTGCTTTTCTGAGATATGAATATAGCATGACAAAGAAGCTGTCAGTGCTTATCAAGCAGCTAGCTATTAGGCAGAAGCTAGCCGGCTGTGTAGCAAACCAGTTCACTGTAACGCTGAGCTAAAACAACGCGTCATCGAATGTGCCTAAATAATATTGTATAGCCATATAGCGACACATAAATAATGCAATTGTCCGTACTCCTGCACCTTATTGATAAGTTGGGCAAATATAAATAGTACCGTTAAATGTCACACCCCTTAAACGTTCATGGTATGTTACCTCAATGTTAATAACGCTATTCTGCAGCACAGTACACGTTATTATTCAGGACTCACTGACTTGGGCTGCTATTTTCTAACTTGTTTTACCGGTCTGCTGCTGCTCCATCACCTGTCCAGCAGCGGTGGAAGTATTTTTGACCCCAGAAGCATCATGTTGTGTGTTTACAGGAGGGCTACGATGACCCCCATAAACCGCTGCCCTCCCTGGTGGTGCACATCAGGGGCCTGGTGGACGGCATCATGGAGTCTGACCTGGCGGAGGCCCTGCAGGAGTTTGGGGCCATCAGGTAATAACAGCACCTGTACTCTGGCTCTGACTACAGGAGTTTGGGATGATTAATACCTGATTCAAATCTCTATATTAGGGGTAGAACTCAATGTTCTACCCACATGATCTGGTAGTATGAGGGGTTTACAGATGCAGACCCATCTGTGCTCATCATGTATGATATTAAAAAGTCAATCTGAAATTGCTCCTCATGTGGGTGATGCAACCCAATATCAAAATCAGTTATGGTTGCAAATCTCCTGTAGGCTGGGCCTGCTGTAAACATGTGTATGCCTAACATGCTTTCACTGCATTCTTCAATGATATGTTTCTTGGTGCAGTTATTCAGATGTAATGTGTGAACAATCACGATAACCCATAAAAGCACTCTTTAGACACAAGTTGACTTCTTATCTGTGCTGACCACCAGGCTATAAGAGCTCTGTAAAGTGTTTTCACTTACAAATGTTTATAGCACATTCATCTGTTTACAGTCCACCTATTTATATATTATTACAATATACAGTATTTTATTCCACTGTACAGTAAATCATTTTACATTCTGTTTTATCTTATTTTACAAAGTTTACATATTCATTTTAATTGCACCATTGTGTCACTTTTATTATTTTCTGGCACTATTTTTTGTATTTTAATTGTTGCTAAGCTGTAGCTGTTTTGCATATGAAAATAAAACCTTTGAATCTTGTGCCATACTGGACACGAAGCATACCAATGAACTTTACATGTGAACTGCAAGTCAACAAACATATTCAACCTGTAATAATTGTTGTCATCGCTTTCCTATAACAAGGAATCTATACTTTCAATTATATGAAAAATGTACCTTAGTGGTGGTTAAAATTGAGCTAGTTATAGTCAAAGTCTGTGCAATAGCAATGTGACTCATACTTTAACCAATACATTTTCAGTGATCTAGTTTATAGGTTTTATAATCTTTCTCTTACGATATGTATTCACAGTTATGTGGTTATGATGCCGAAGAAGCGCCAGGCCCTGGTGGAGTATGAAGACACGAATGGCTCCTGCAATGCTGTTACGTACGCTGCAGAGAACCAGGTTTACATCGCGGGCCACCCCGCCTTCATCAACTACTCCACCAGCCAGAAGATCTCCCGGCCAGGAGACTCCGACGACACCCGGAGCGTCAACAACGTGCTGCTGCTCACCGTCATCAACCCCATCTACCCTATCACCACGGTAACTGCATTAATAAAAAGAGTATATTGTTCACATCATCATATAGTAGAAGGTGTGTTGCACTGTATACATGGACAGTATATATTATAACAAAAGCA